GCTGAGGCTTACCTTGGGTCTACAATTAAGAATGCTGTGGTTACTGTCCCTGCGTACTTCAATGACTCCCAGCGTCAAGCAACAAAGGATGCTGGTGTCATTGCTGGTCTTAATGTCATGCGAATTATCAATGAACCCACGGCTGCTGCCATTGCTTATGGTCTTGACAAGAAAGCTACCAGTGTCGGTGAAAAGAATGTATTGATCTTTGATCTTGGTGGTGGTACTTTTGATGTCTCTCTTCTAACCATTGAAGAGGGTATCTTTGAAGTGAAAGCCACTGCTGGGGATACTCACCTTGGAGGTGAAGATTTTGATAACAGAATGGTGAACCACTTTGTCCAGGAGTTTAAGAGAAAGAACAAGAAGGAGATTAGTGGTAACCCCAGAGCTCTTCGGAGGTTGAGGACTGCTTGTGAGAGGGCAAAAAGAACCCTTTCATCCACTGCCCAGACCACTATCGAGATTGACTCCTTGTACGAGGGTATCGATTTCTACTCAACCATTACCCGTGCCAGATTTGAGGAACTTAACATGGACCTATTCAGGAAGTGTATGGAACCAGTTGAGAAATGTTTGAGGGATGCCAAGATGGACAAGAGCTCTGTCCATGATGTTGTTCTTGTTGGTGGTTCCACTAGAATTCCAAAGGTTCAGCAGCTTTTGCAGGATTTCTTCAATGGAAAGGAGCTCTGCAAGAGCATCAACCCTGATGAGGCTGTTGCCTATGGTGCTGCTGTCCAGGCTGCCATATTGAGTGGTGAGGGTAATGAGAAGGTGCAAGATCTCCTGCTCTTGGATGTCACCCCATTGTCACTTGGTTTGGAAACTGCTGGTGGTGTGATGACTGTTCTGATTCCAAGGAACACCACCATCCCGACCAAGAAAGAACAGGTATTCTCTACCTACTCCGACGACCAGCCTGGTGTGTTGATCCAGGTCTATGAAGGTGAGAGAACAAGGACCAGAGACAACAACTTGCTTGGTAAATTTGAGCTCTCTGGCATCCCTCCTGCTCCCAGGGGTGTTCCACAGATCACAGTGTGCTTTGACATCGATGCCAATGGTATCTTGAATGTGTCTGCGGAGGACAAAACCACAGGACAAAAGAACAAAATCACAATTACTAATGACAAGGGTAGACTCTCAAAGGAAGAAATTGAGAAGATGGTTCAGGAGGCGGAGAAGTACAAATCGGAGGATGAAGATCACAAGAAGAAGGTCGAGTCAAAGAATGCGTTGGAAAACTATGCATACAACATGAGGAACACAGTGAAGGATGAGAAGATTGGTGCCAAGCTTTCTGCAGAAGATAAGAAGAAGATTGAAGATGCAATTGAGCAAGCCATCCAATGGCTGGACAGCAACCAACTCGCTGAGGCAGATGAATTTGATGACAAGATGAAGGAGTTGGAGAGCATCTGCAACCCCATCATTGCTAAGATGTACCAGGGTGCTGGCGGTGACATGGGTGGCGGCATGGATGATGATGTCCCAGCTGGTGGAAGCGGTGCTGGCCCAAAGATTGAGGAAGTCGACTAAGAATCTTATTTGATATCTTTCGTCTGCTGTTCCGGTGTCTTAGTTGTTGGTTTTATGTTTTCCTTTTGTTGTTTCGTAATCGGATTTAAATGAACATTTTTGGGGTTTGTTGCTCTATCTTTGGTTACACTCTATCCGAAGATGGTTTTATGATATTAAGAATCTTGTAATTTTTGTTGTGGTTCAAATCTAGTTTTGATGTCAGTTGCCTGTCCTGCTTTGGTAGGTGTTAGGTATGCTTAAAATCTAAAATACCTTCACAGCATGGATTGCTTAGATATGGGGTCAAGTGCACACACATTACATTACTTTCACTTCAATCTATAGGACAATTAAGTTTGGTTATGAATTTGATCAATGATTTGTGAAACAAAAATACGAAGTACCTTAATCATCTCTTCAATAACATTTCTGTTGAATAATAACAAATCGAATTATTCTATTAATTATAAATATAAATCAAACTATAAATTGATGATAAATTTATTTGAATTTTAATAAAAGTATTTATTTTAAAACATGATTGGATAATAGGTATATATATTAGGGAAATACAGATATCGGGATTTGAAACTAGGAGCCAATCCAGTTAAGCTCCGGATCCATAGTTCGGAGTTGAATGAACTGAAATGAGAGTAAAATATAGTAATATTCTTGATATTTATAGTAATAAGTAGGATTTTGATGATGTTGATGGAACTCTAGCAGTGGTTGATGGTGATAGAGCATGGAACCATGGTGCACTTAGTATCATTTGTGTGTATTTATAATTACAACGATAACTTAACAGTTGGGGACTTGGGATGTAAAGACACTTTTATAGTATATATATTTGGTGTTAATGTTTGCCTGAAACGATTGTCGAAAAGGAGAAAGCAATTGCTTATAGTATATCTATGACTAAGTTCAAGCTTTTTTCGCCTCTAGTTTATGTTCTTTAAATTGGATGCACCGTTGACGGTTTTGCCATTGACGAAACTGGGCAATTAACTGCATGGTTCCAGGTTGTCTCCTGCTGTGAATTAACAATCAATTCCATCTGCAGTTGCATGTGCAGCAACTCTTGATTTTGCACTCTCTTGGAGAAAAATTATAACAGATTGAGTTGACAGGCCCAGTCATGTTCCAGTAGTCCTGCTGCTGATTGCTTATTTTCCCCCCAGATATTGTGCAAATCTTTTCGTATTTGCCCAGGGATCTCGACTTCCTCGAGCATACGAGTAGCATTGGCTGGAAAGAGTGAGAATTCGATTCATGTTGTCCCACTTTCTAAACGGCTTTCTTCGAATTCGACTTTGTTTCTAGCTTGCAGATACCAAAGAGCAAGACCAATCATTATAGATCCGGGCTTATATCATTCGAATAAATCCGATGTCTTTTGAGCTAAGGAGAAAAGGTCATTGCCCGCTTCGTTCAAGTTATTTTTGTATATCTCATCGTTCTCTACAATTATTTGTTAGAAAGTTCTCAAATAAGTTGACACTTATTAGAGAGTCTATAGAAGCCTGCTGAAGGCTGTTGCATATGGTTTTCATTCGATTTAAGTAGACGTGGATACGGTAAATGAACGATCATTAGAGAAAAGATTGAGATTCTCTGATCTTAGTTTTGGCATTGAAGATTGGTATATGGTTTTCATCAGGCCATCTTAATATAACAAGAAAAAAGCCTGCTAATTAGACATGTTCACTAGACTGTTTCTAGATCCTTCTGTAACATTGGATACCGATCCATAAGCTTGTGATGGAAGTAAATGGCGGTTTTAGTTTTGTTTAGCTATTCAGTATAGTCGATAAGTAAAAAATTTGATTGCCGTGCGTTGGAAGTATCATATTGTATCTGGAAATAGCATATCTAGTGTATTCATGAATCTTTACCCCATGCTATATCCTGAAATTTTTATATACATCTCCAGGAACTGAATGGGTGGTACTGACAAAATCGTTTCTCGAATTCTGCATCCGGGGATGGGATAATCTTCCTCGCTCACTCCTCATGCACTACACGAACTTCCCGTCATCTCAGGAAGGCTACTTCCACACCGTAGTCTGCAATCACAAAGACTATCACAACACAACCTTAAATCATGACCTGCATTTTATAAGATGGGATAATCCTCCAAAGCAGCATCCCATGACACTGACATTGGAACATTTCAACGACATGATTCATAGCGGAACGCCCCCCACCATGTAGTGCTTAATGTGATCATCATTCAATATTCGATTTCACGTGATACAATACACGTAATATTTGACTTAATCAATAAGGATACAATATGAGTCATTATTTTATTGGATATTATTAATTTATAAAATACAATAACTCGTGAAAAATAGGTAGAAATTGACGTATATACTCCACCAGAAAGGGTTAGAAATTGAAGTAATGTGAACAAATATTATAGGGGTAATTTTAATTTCACAAATTTTACGTGATGTGAATCTAAAAATTGTGCAAAGTTTCATCATTGGCATATAGTCATAGACTGGGTTAAAAAATGTGGACATTGGATTCCGAAATATTACAACCAGAGTGTTAGCTCAAAGTCGTTTTTTTTAGCCAATTCTTGCGTTGATTGATTTTTATTTGCTTTGATAATTTTGGGTTAGCTTCGTTTTGCAGTTACAATTATTGAGTGAATATGGTGGACGACCCACATTTAGAAGATAGTCCTTATGGCGAGCAGAGTCCGGTTGGTACTCCAACTTCTCATAGGATGAATCAATCAGCAGTCGAGCAAAAGAATGCCGCTGCTGGTCTTGGTGACGGGGGATTTACATTTGACATTTTGATTATTTTTATTGCTTTGCTCTCGCTTTAATCGGTTTTTTCTTATATCTGTTTTAGTGTCTATATATGTAACACTTCAGCCAGTAAGTGATATTCAAATTTCTGTTGTTGATTTTCCTTCAAAATGACCAGTACACGGAAGAAGAAGGTATCAAGAATGCCTGGTGGGGTCCTGCGCCAGTTCAGTGTTATGGGTTAGTGATTTTTATATAATAAGTTGAATTTGATCTATTTTACTTGATAATTTTTAAATATATGTCAAATTCTTTATACATTCCTTGAGAAATATAAGAAATCTTGGCAGTTACCTTTTGCTTCTCTCAAATTAGTTTTAGAGGTCAATTTGTGTACGTTATAAATTTTTTCTGGAACAACTGATGGCTTACTTTTGGATCCCATGTTCGTCTTGATCGACTTGAACGACTTTTATCAGTTTGCAAGAAGTTGGAGAGTAAGGGGAGCACCACATAATGTATTTAAATTTTTGGTAGTATATGTTTTCTCTTCAAGTCTATTGCCAGAGTAGGTTCAAGATTTGTCATGTGAATGTGAGTGATATAACGACTCAAATGAGAATTTTGTCGAGTGTACGAAGCTATATATATATATATGCTTACAATTATATGTTCCAACTTCCAAGCAGATGGTAACTTGATCACTCTAGCTTTCTTATAAACATGAATATATATGGTTTCATGTTGCATTCTTGAAACTGGAATTACATCTTTCAAGTAATTTATCAATCGAGAAATTGTTATAATGCTCTAGAATAGTGGAATATGCAGTCTTACCAGTTTCTTTGCTGAGAGACGATGATTTCCTTTTCTATTATAACCAAGTATGAATCTCACGAGTTGAGTTGTTTATGATTCTCAGGATGCAGATGAAATCATAGAAGAGTTTGCCACCTCTCAGACTAATACAGCATGATCTATGGATGAGGTTTAGTTCCTATGAATTTTAAGTTCCTATTCTTTAATCATCCGATGCTTGCCTCTTAAATGTATTGCAAAAACAAGTAAGCATTTTGGTTTTTCAGTTCCACGAGAAGAATGTTCGGCGGCGGGTGTATGATGCATTAAATGTACTCATGGCAATGGATATTGTTACGAGTGAGAAGAAAGAAATCAGGTGGAAGGGACTTTCTCCTACACAAACAAAGGATTTCGAAGAACTTAAGGTTGATAATCTACTGAGCTATGGAATGTAACAACATATTTTTATAGAGCTCGCACATGTCACCGTGGACACATGAATTCACAGGAGGAAGATTATTCTACAAATCAGATGGCCATGACTTTTTATTTTCAATGCCTGCAGGCAATGCAGGTTCAACTAATGACAAGGGTCTCACGGAAGGCAGCTTATTTGAAAGATTTAGAAGAACAAGTAACTCTTTCTTTTTCTTATTTTCTTATTACTTTCAGACAACATGTTGATATTTATAGAAGACCTGCTTGTGGTCTAGTGTTGGAGAAAAAAACAGAACTACAGACATGACTCGTGAGCCATTTAAGACATTTCGTAAATGATATTTTTTCATCTTTTCTTACTGTGGTTTGTTCTTCAAAATGGGTTTATCGGAAACATCCTAAAATGTCAGCAAAAATAAAAAGATTGCAGGTCTCGAGAACGTAATCAAACGGAACCAGCAGATGCCCAAGAACAACACAACTCCTAAAGAAGGATTTACCTTGCCATTTATATTGGTTCAAGTATGTGTATTTCTATCTTTGCAACTGGTATAAAGTTCTTGTATTCATTGTTTACATAAACAATAACGAACTGCTTTGGTTTGTGTGTATGTGTTGAGAGAACTTGTTTTCAGGTTTGTTATTAATTTCAACTACTCATTTACTTTCTCCTCCATTTATAGAGAAGCCCACATGTCACTGTTGAGATTGAGATTTCTGAGGATATGCAACTGGTACACCTTGACTTTAACAGGCAAGTATATTTCATTGTACCATGGAAAACATACACCATTTCCTTTTTTGTTTTATAATTTTGATTTTTACCATGGCAGTCTCATCTTTTCTTATTGTTTCATGTTTATCGCAGTACGCCGTTCCACTTGCATGATGATGCTTATGTTCTGAAGTTAATGCATTACTACAAACAACCCGAAGGTGGAAATCTCTCGCAAAGTTCTTCAATTCATTCATCTTCAAGCTCTTGCAAAGCATCTGGAGCCATCAAACCATTATACTGGATTTTGGAAACAGATACCGTCAAACAAAGTATATCGGAGAGATGAATGGTATCACTATAGCCTCTACCAAACACATGTAAAACTAAATCTTTGGTACCTGTACATTGTTATTTCATTGGGAAAAAAAAGTATGGAATCATTTTGCATCTCTTTCGAGATCTCTTGATATGATTTTTAACATTGGAATGAGGGGGGAGGCTTGGGGGGATTCCGTTTTTGTTTTTGTTTTCTGAGGACTTGTGGATGAAATACTGAAGATTGAGTAAAATGGTAGGAATTTTTTAAAAGTTTTAAGGAAAGCAGTTTTCAACTGCTGGTGCTGCAGGGTTGAGCTTTGCGATAATGCAGAAGTCTCCCACCCTATTGTTAATGACAGGAGCTGAATTGTTTCCATTTTGGGATCATTGGACCCGAAATTTAGTCCATTCAGGGACAGCAATTGAAAGAAAAGGGTTTGATCTAGTGACTATTTTTAGATCTAAAAATAATCTCTCATTTTTCCCTCTTTTTACATTAATATCAAAAAAGAAGAAAAAGGAAAATATACAACTTTTAAAATTTGTTTTTCTTATCTAGTCGTCAAGTGTCTAATGTGGTTTGCATTTTATAGGTAAATTTGTACGAAAAGGAATGGTGGAGAGAGGAGAAAAACAATATATCTTGATTTCATAATGATTAGATATTCGAAATTGTAAATGGACGAAGATAAGGTCGAAACTTCGATTTGAGTTCTGTGAATGTCAAAAGAAAATCGAATAGAGAGGAGAAAGAGGTTTTGGTACCGACACCAGACCACGGTCAAAAACAGTGAAGGATGTTGGTTATGGAAAAGAATGGTAAAATATAGATTAATTTTGTAAATAAAATTACCTAAAAGTAACAATTTGATATTATCAATAAACAACTAAGGACTGGATGAAAAAAAAAAAAATAGAAAATCGGGTTATAAAATCTAAAATTCTAAAAGTTGGGTGACTAAAACAGAAACAAGATAAATGTTGAGTGATTAAGTGCGTAATTTAACTTACACTTTTACGTTGAAAACCTCGAATTGGGGGGGTTCTTTATTATTATTCAAGAGGAGACAGAAACCAGTCCCTTTTTATGTTGTATGATAAGAAACAAAAAATAGCAGTGACAGCCCAAGGCTTGTTGAAATAGTTTGGAGGCCACCATCGATTGCAATCTGTGTGTGAGATTAGAATAATAGTAAGTATTCAATCTTGTCGAGATTATTGAAAAAGTGGAGCAAATCTTTGGGACTCAACCGGATGTGGCCATTGGATAGTATCTCCATGTCATTGCCGGTATCCATCTGGTTAGACAGTGAATACAATGCGGTAAACATTGCTCCTACACGATCAGGTTCCGGTAGTCCCATTGATCACCAATGGTGGGATTTCGAGACAACCGTTTCTAACATTTATCTCCAACACACAGGCTACCAACGCAGCTTCCCGGGATACGTATCAGCAAAGAACAAAAGGGCAAGTTCAATCAAGGAGTTGGTTTCATAAGGGAGCCTGGTTTGGTCAAACAAAATTTAAAGCACCAACCAAGGGATTTGGATTGGTTTTCTAGCAAAATCAAGTCACAGTTTGGAGCATATATGAAATGTAGAAAATCAGGTCATCTAGCTCTATGTTCACCAATCCACCAAGTTTAGGAAACAGCTCGATAAGGAAGACACCATCGAACACCATTATTTTGGGGAATTTGTCACCTAACTCTGCTGCACAATCATGGCCTGCATAGTAAGCACTGGCCTGTTTCTCCTTCAACTTAGCAGCATTTATCCAATCAGATACAACTCTCTGCTCTTCAATCTCCATGGGACATTGTCCCATGACGACTTGTATTTACCCTGGAAAGGAGAGGGTCAAGTACATCACTTCGATGCAATTAACATCGTATATATTATATAGTTCCTTATTTAATTTAATTCAAAATAATTGTCCCTTGTTTAATTATTTTGAAAGTTCAGCCCTTGCAACTAGCTTTTTAATATCAAACTAGAAAGAAGGGAAACCATCATAAATGTTTTCGTGAAGAAGTCTTGGATACAAAGAGTGAATAGGCAGTAAGCATGAGAGGTAAGAAATCTGCCGGTCCATATGAAACACTGGTGTGGTGATGATTCCTTGTGCAAGTGTTGGCTGCCGCTCGCCTTTCTACTTGAAGAAATTGACCCAGTGACTGAGATTTGATGTTTGTGTCCACTGCATCGGTGCTTAGTTTCGAACATAAAGAGAAAAACCAGGTCCTAAATTTGCAATTCTTCTTCTCTTCTCTCGAGGTTTGCGTTCTTCTTCTCCTGGTTGATGTCCTTGACAGCTCGATAAAGCTCGATATTCCTATGAGGCTCCCCAGTGTCATGCTCTTGTCATGGTAGAATGACCCTGTCGACTGATATCATTCATTTGCAACATAATCAAAAGTTGTTCAAAACCAAAACCCACCTCGGCTCGGCATTTCAATTCAACTTGTCAAATACTACTCTACTCGATGATCCATACTAATATTCATGCATTCGTCTAACATGAATCAAATACGAATACTTGAAAGAGATAAAAGAGTGAAAATATTTAAACATTGGACAAATAAAGATGGGATACATGCAGGAATAACCGGTGAAGCTAGGAAGTGAGTTTAAACAAGTGTTGGATCGTGGTCTATGGGACCCCAAAGTGGCCCACCCCCAAAAAAAACACCTAAGCATGACAAAACCACTTTAAACAAATCAATCCGGTAATCTTCCTTTTTGTTGTCATCTTGTTCAACATATGATGGGATATGGATTATGGGTTTTGATTATATAAGAGAATTTTGGGTGAAACATGCTGACCTGGGTATCAAGATCCGAAGAAGAGATGCAGGAGGAGCTGGGGGAAGAAGCAGTGATTAAAGTGGTGAATGAGATGGAACCAGAGAAATCAGCGTTCCTCACCAACCCCATTCTTGCATTCAATGGCTCAAGGCCTAGAGGCCACCCTTGTTCCTGCATTTACAACACAAGCAAATGAAAAAACCAGAAGAATGAAAGTTTCCAAAGGAGAGACAAATTAGTAGTACGTAGTACCCTTTGTGCCATCGTCAAATGGCTAGGACTTGGTGGAAAAAGAATGGTGGAACTGGTATGAAAATGGTGAAAGGTTGGTTATTTAATGATGATCCAAAAGGGAAAGAGTAAGATTTTGGCATTTGAAACTCAAAATGAAAAAGAGATGATGAATAAAGAGAGAAGAGAAGAGAAAGGGACAAATGATATTTTGATTTGGACATTATCTCCCCTGTAGAGGGGACATAAGGGAAAGAGGAATGGAGGAATCATATTTGTCCCTCCCAGTCCCGGGGCAAGAGAAAGGACAACTTTGCACTGCAAAGCGGGACCAGATCTCAGGCTCTTGGCTCCATAGCCTACATGACCAAAATACCCCATTTTTTAAATTCCACATTCTGCAAGTTCCCATCTTTTTAAGCATTTGTTAATTGTTATATTTGAGAATGCAAGCAATTGCCCAATATTTCATTCCAACTTACAACCTTTGAAAAACGCAGCACCAATCCTTTTAAAATTTACGTATGTGTTTTTGACCTTTTTGGTTTTCAAAAAATGTATTATAGGATTAAAGTGGAAAAAATAAATAATATATCAACAAGAAATATTATATAAATTTTATTAAAAAGAAACACGTATAATACATACCAAAAGCACGTGTTAATACGAATAAGAACTGTTGTACGACGTAGACAACGAACATGTATGAGCTTTGTCTTTAATAACTCAAGAAAAGGTTTAACACTCATTTATTGATTGATTGTTTGAAGACAAGATTCACACACATACATCATTTTCGTTATAAGAGGTTAATATATATATAGATTGATGAAATAAGAGCCTGTTTAGACTCAAATGTAAGTAGGTATCTGAGACAGGATTGTAGCGTTGTGTCCAACCAAAAACATGAAGCAGGAGAGAAGCAAAGACCTCCAGAAAGGGTTTTGCACCGCACATTGTTGATCATTTCATTCAAGGTCTAGAAAGCTTTTCTCTTCGTCTTTGGTCCGCAGTGGGGTCGAGCGAAGAACGTCTTTCAATAAGTCTATAGATGGATATGCACGACTGTATGAATATAGTTTCAGTAAAGACGAAAGTATCTCCAATAGTATACAAGAAACACGAAACCAACCAATCGATGCATTTTCATTTTCTTCAGATATGGCAACCAATGTTGAATTATGAACAAAAATTGCTTGAATTTGGGTTATAGTTCAGAAGCAGATAGCCTCGGATGTCTGCATCAGAACACTTATCTTCAAGCTCATCTGTAAACTGTAAGCCAGTGATCATACGGTCTACGGACAATATGAACAAGACAGCAAGGCTGATGGAAGAAGCAAGTTGTGCATTACAAGGTACATGCCCCGTTGTTTGATATTTTTGAACACTATGCAAAGAATATACATTTCCCTTACTAATTAATCTCAAGAAGCAGATATAGAGCTACGGCAAAGCTTCGACGAACTCGACTGCAACGAAAATGGAAGGATACCCTTATCCCTTAAGGTGGCTGGCGGGGGAATAATTGAGTTACAGAAATATTATAGAATTTAAACAAGGATTTAGAAACACAAAAATTGGAACCATCCTTGGTTTTAAAAGGCGCAAGATGCGTAAAAAATCTCTGAAACCTAGACGCACTTTTATACTAAAAAACTTATAAATTAGTTATAGAATATGTTTTATATTTAAAACAATATTATAAACATATATATGCTAAAAAGTTTATAAATTAATTATACGAGTATATTTATACTCATTATCCACTGATTAACTCTTAAAATATTTGTATAAAGTGTATTGATTTATACTTAAAGTTTTTAATATTTAAAATTATTATTTTATTTATTTTTATAAATATATTTTAATCCCTTTCACTAAAATCTACATTGTTATTGATTTATACTTAATGTTTTTAATATTTAAAACTATTATTTCATTTATTTTTAAATGATACAATTTATTTTATTATCAATTTAAATTTTGTAATTATTATAAAAATAATAATTTTTATATTAATAAAATTTATTAAGTAATTAATTTTATTATTTTAAAAATTAAAATTAATTATGTATTATCAAATAACGAAATTTCTAAAAAAAATATATACTTTGGGTTAAGATGAGACAAAAGGTGGAAGAAGTTATAATGGTTTGTTATAAATAAATAAACATTAGAGTTGAACTATAAATTTGGGTTATAATGTTGAGTTTATTAATATGTAAAATATTAGGGTTAAGAAATGAAAAAAATGTGATAAAAGAAAGAGTTTTCTAATCTTCTTCACCGTCTTCTTCCTTTCTTACTATTGTAATTCTTTTTTTTTTTTATCTTCTTTCTTTTTTTTAATATGTTATACTTTTTAGTAATATCTTTAAAAAAATCAAAAGTCGCCCGGCGTTTAAAGCCCAGAAGCGCGCCTCTCTTGTATCTCGTCTCATCTCATCCTAAGTGGATACCATCTTCAGTACCTGATTGCGACTCGCGTATAGGCGCGTCTTTAAAATCAAGGAACCATCCATGGTGCTAACGCCATGATTGGATGCTGGCCCCGCCTAGCATAATAGGAGTAGATAATTCCGAGTGATTCGTGGAAGACAGCACGGATACGTAGCTTCAACCTTTTACCCTTCTCATCTATTTCAGCCTTCTCTCTTTAGATAGCCAATCCAAAGGAACTAAAATGAGCGAGTGCTGGTATTTGACCTCCAAATCCGGGTAAGGTATTATGCCCCCAATGGGAGATGAACATCTTCTTCCACTTGTTTTCATTTTGTTTTACAACATCTTTTACAACAATCTTCTTCCACTTGATTTCATATTGTTTTACCCAAACTTGGAAAGACATATGGAAGAAGTTATTTGGTAATTATTCCATCATTCTAATCCTAGAGAGGAGAAAGCAAAGCAAAAATAAAATTGGTACCATCCATGGTGTTAACTCATGATTGCATGGTGGCCCCGCCTAGGGAAAAGGGAAACGTATAAAGAAAAAAGTAAACAAGAGAATATCAATATCTATATATACAGTGACACCTCATATCTAGATTTATTGAAATTAATACACCTCTTTCCCTTAGACTCAGTCACATGATACATACAGGTATCTTTCATTCTCACCCCCACCCTAGGAGTTGATAATTTTGGGGGTTACGTGGAAGAGAGCACGGATACGTAGCTTCAAAATATGCCCTTGGGATGTGCACTAAGCCATTTCATGACACGTGTACGGTTGACAGTGAAGCTCACTCTGTATAAATTTAATGATTTATGTGCCCTGTAAATCCGTACTAGTCTTCAAAAATCATTTCATCAGAATAGAAGTAATGTCTTGCTGCGGAGGAAACTGTGGCTGCGGCTCTGGTTGCAAGTGCGGCAACGGCTGTGGAGGGTAATTCTTTTCTCCTATTCCTTCCCCGTTTCCTTTCAAAATCGTTTATTTCAAGTTTGTTAAAGCTTCTTTTGTCTATGATATTGTAGATGCAAGATGTTCCCCGACATAGTTGACGAGAGGACCACAACTGAGACTCTTGTTCTTGGCCTGGCACCCCAGAAAACGTACGTATCAGCTACATAAAAAACAGAGCAAAGTTATGGTCTTTTTTTTGAAAGCTTTTGATTTACTGTTTTTGAATACATGCAGGCACTTTGAGGGATCTGAGATGGGAGTTGGGGCTGAGAATGGATGCAAGTGTGGAGACAACTGCACCTGCAACCCCTGCAATTGTAAATGAGATTATGAAGAACAATAGATCCATCAATGGAAGCAGACTGGCCTTCTTAGTATTATCAAATAATTCTATGATTTAGTGTGTATTAGCAAATCATCATCTGGATTTGCCATAGCTATATGGTGGAATTATAGTATTTAGTTATCGATTATGTGTATGTCAGTTTTTCTGCTATAGCAGAATATGCTATGATGATATTTGTGTAAGAATGTGAGCCTGTTTTCTAATGAATGAATGGTAAACTACTTTCTATTTGCTTGAAAATGTATGGATGATATGGAAATGAAGTTTATAGATTTTTGATGCAGTATTGACAGGATTCCAGAAGTTTTGGTGACATAAATGACACAGCAGTGTGTAAATCAACTGTAATTTAAGCTTTTGTGAGAGGTTGAAATGAGTCTTAACATTATGTAAAACAGGGAAGTACCAAGGGCACATCAAATGTTACTGGAGTATAATACAATTTGGTGTCGCCCCATCAGTTAAGGGTTGCTCTCCTAATCCTATCGAAAATTACTTTCGTGTAAAGATGGGTGCTTAAACTAGAAGTTAGGGAGATGCAATTCCTACTTCTTTGCCCAAAAACATTAACATACGGATTATTTAACAGGCAACATTTGTAGTCGTACATTATTTGATTTAAGCTTCAAACCAGAGGATTGCAAACTGCATCCAGAACATAATGGAGGCTTCCTTTATCGACATAAGAATAAAAAATAAGTAATTTTTCACAGAAACTTCATATTTTTGTAGGTCAAATTAGATGATATGAATTCCTAATTCCATGTTTTAGGAAAAGAAGAGGAAGAGCCAAATTTCTACCGCATCTCCAAGCATTCAAACAAATGGTTGAACTAATTCTACAACTTTTCAATGGGAAAATTAGATCCATAAATCAGTTTCTTCCGTTGTTCTTTCACATTTCAAATTTCCCATTAATTAAGATAAAGCAAGATAATACTTATTGATATTTCGGAAAACATAATTTACCAGTAAGGGATTGGAAGCAATTGAGATCAAAGGTATCAGCTTCAAGTAGATCAATTTAAAGTAGTTTACCTCGTTTGAACGGAGGATAAGAAGATTACTGTATCCCTTATTTATTCAACAAAATAATGCATTTGGAAAGCGGACAGAGCGCTTTCATCTTGAGCCATTTATCTACACAGCTTTTATAGAAGACATGAGAGCAAGGGAGCTCCTTCAGCACATCATGGTCTGTGTAACTCGTCAAACAAATGCAGCAAACCTGCATATTGTCAATATAGATTTAGCCCAGTTGAAAACAAAACAATGTGAAGTATGTAATCATAATGCTTCCTTGAGCATTAAGCAGAAGTAATTAATCTTATGAGCAAGGCATTCCTGAACTTACAACATCATCCCGTGGAATAGAACAGTCCTTCTCGGCTCCTGCTGCTTCAGCCCCACCATTAACTTCAGAATTAATTTTCTTTATGCTGCCACTACCATCTTTCTGCAACTTGAATGTGTACGTTGGCAGAGAATCAATGCATTCTGAAGAAGCTCCTCTAATTGGACCAAGGTCCCCACAACAGCATGCCAAAACCAGACACAGGATAAAGGGCATAATAAAATCGAGATAACCGAAGACAAGGAACATTACGCATAACCTGCAATGGAGCCAAAGAAACCGGTTGATTTCCAGATAAGAGAAAAGCCAACGAGTAGTATAATACTTATACAGGCAAGTGTTGACACCTGTGCAAATTTGAATCCCCTGAAGAAGAGTTACCTCCAAATAGCCAAACATTTCCAACAACGAACCACACAAAAAAGTATGCTTTAGCACCCATTTAAAGTGCTCCAATAATCTGCTAAGCCTGCCAAGTTACCATGAAAAAATGCATTGGCAATCGCATATAACTGATTTAAGTTATGCATAAAACACTCAGAGACACAAATGTTAGGAACAAACCAGAAAGTGCTCATAAAAAACCAAATATAATACATACTATCTGAGGCTTAAATTTACACCAGAATAACATGTTCAACTCTTTCTTAAACATGAGCACAGAAAAAAGCATTATACACTTGCATATAATGCATGTGTTATACACACGTGCGCGTAAACACATAAATACAAAAACATCGATAGAATATTGCACCTTCACGAAGTGAAAGCTTTTTTTCACTCATTGCATTTCAAGCAATATAAGGGTTTTAGTACCCTTGACACACCCCACTTAGCATAGATTATTAGATTGAATATCATGATGTGGATGAGGTTTGGTGCAAACAAACTAATGCATGCAGATTCAGAAACAAAAAATAAGAAGGAATGAAGATTATATTTTTATCAAAAAAACTTCAACTAGATTTACACGACTTTTTTTTTTTCAAATAATATATCAAATAAATGAAGAATGGACAGCTTATGTACATTCCCTCACTCATTTTTTCAGTTTCCTTCTCGACCATTTTCAGACCCCTATGGATGCCAAAGTTTTACTTTACGTTTGCCAAATGGTCAATGCTATGGTAAGTTCTATCCTCTCCACCTATTTGGAACATTGAAACACAAAGGCATTATTCCTTACACATGTGACACTAGTAATTTATCAAAGACAATTTCAGATAACATAAACATTTTTGTCCTAGATATATCATGTCATAACCACACTTTGTTTTCGAAAACATAAATCTCCTAAGAACCACTGGGCAACAGAACCACAGCTAAGTGGACAGCCTCCCTAGTGACTGAATTGAAACCTCTACTACGACGACGGCGGAGAAGCGTTTATTCTCAATCAGTGGCAAACGACTGTCAACCACGCAAAACCTTCCATGGAGAAACACAATCGGGACATGGATAAAACAGAATAATTAATCGGCTTATTGGTCATTAACAAGAAGGTGTTCTGCTTTTCGAACAACATCGAGAATCAGAGGTTTTACTTCCTGTTATTGGCACAAACAAATTAACAGAATCAACTTCAAAGAAGGATCAAAGTTATTGGCACAAACATCTGACTCCAGCATTAGTTGATCGTATGGTAGAACCTGGAGAAGATATCTAATATAAGTGACAAACTTGAAGCAACCAACATTGAAAACCTATAAAATAATTATCATAAAAAGATTCCCCACAAATATACATGTATCTCTTTCAATTAGGAAGGGGAAACATAATTCTGAAAATAAAATAAATTAACCTTTTTCAGGAATCAAAAGAACCGGTTTCATCAATTCATGAAGTAAATTATATAAAAGTGGCATGATTGATGAATAACAAAACACATTATAAACACTACAATGAAACTAGACCAGAAAATAGCATATTTACATGAGCCAATGCCTCGTATCTCAGAGAATACCTTGTTTGCCTCAGCAAGTGTCATGACAGTCAATTGCTTTAGCTTCAAAACTTGATCGGGGAGCAATTGAGGAAGACTATCAATATTACCTGCTTAAACAGTTTAAACAGCGAAAGTTAATCATATTATGATGAGCCGAAGAAAAATATGAACAATCAAGACTGAGAAATATATCAAGTAGTTCAATTAAGTAAAAGATATCTTACTGCCAACTGTGCCCAGAACAATAAGCATATTAAGGTAATGCCTTTTGAATTACTACTCCATGAAATTTCCATTTGGATAATCATATTAGAGTAATATTTTCTTTCATGAGATCATCCTAATAATACTCTATATATATTATGATTTTCAGTAGCTTTTCTCTATTATCATAAATTTAACAGAAAGTTTCCAGTTAAAAAATCAAAATACTTAACATTTACAAAAGGCAAAACATCTCTACATGACCACATTTCACGCTCAATTTCAACCAACAAGAAGAATAACACATTTAGAATCCTTATTGCGAAGAAAAAGTCTTAACATACACTGTAACAACAAATGTCTACTAATAATCTTTCAAATTTTCTTAAAATGAAAACTTATTATGCAAAAGGTAGTCATCAAATAAACTTACCTTTAACCTCACAATGCTGCTTATTTCTTTGTGTTCCAAAGGCTGGAACACTATATACTCATCAACATGATTCATGAACTCAGGTCGAAAGACGTCTCTTGCTGTTTCCACCTACGTATATGGGATATTTTAAGAAATGAACATCCTTATTACTAGCAGGGTCTGGGGAAAGAATAGGAAAGGTGATTTCACTATATTTTTGACCAGGAACAGGACCTATCACAAGAATATTACTAGCGGGTCCAGGGTCCAGGGTTTGGGGCTCGGGGCTCGGGGCTCGGGGCTCGGGGCTCGGGGCTCGGGTCCGGGGTCTAGGGTTGGGGTCCGGGGCTTGGGGTCCGGGGTCCGGGGTCTGGGTTTAGGGTTTAGGGTTTAGGGTTTAGGGTTTAGGGTTTAGGGTTTAGGGTCTAGGGTCTAGGGTCTAGGGTCTAGGGTCTAGGGTCTAGGGTCTAGGGTCTAGGGTCTAGGGTCTAGGGTCTAGGGTGTAGGGTCTAGGGTGTAGGGTGTAGGGTCTAGGGTCTAGGGTCTAGGGTCTAGGGTGTAGGGTGTAGGGTCTAGGGTGTAGGGGTAGGTCTAGGTGTAGGGTAGGGTCTAGGGTCTAGGGTCTAGGTCTAGGTCTAGGTCTAGGTATAGGGTCTAGGGTTGAGGGTTGAGGGTTGAGGGTTGAGGGTTGAGGGTTGAGGTTGAGTTGAGGGTTGAGGGTTGAGGGCTCAGGCTCAGGGCTCAGGGCTCAGGGCTCAGGGCTCGGGGCTCGGGGCTCGGGGCTCGGGGCTCGGGGCTCGGGGCTCGGGCTCGGGGGCTCGGGGCTCGG